CAAAGTGACTTTTTAAGATTTGGGGCGTTTTGTGTTCTAAAACTGGTTTTGTTACCCATTTTATCTTCTTCAGAACTGAGGTCAATAGCCTCCTTTTATCATCTACAAAGTGAAGAGAAACATGGAAACCTCAAAGTACAGGAAGTAGTCCCCAACTTACAAACAGCTTATGTTCCAAAGGTTTATCACTCCTTTGAAAACATGTTTGTACTAATTAACCTATTTATATCATAGTTGCTGTGGAATAACTGCATTCCAAGTTTCAACTCTAAATTGCAACTTTCTGCCCTGCTGCCTTTTTGCTAACTGCAGCCAAAACCCAGAGCTGATAGAATTTTCTCTCTAGGGAGAAACCACTATAACCTCTGAAGGCAGAGAAAAAGACAATTCTTCTCACATAGGAGAGCTTTTACATTGCTTCTGTGGGAAAAGCTACCACAATTTAACAAGATAATGGTTATGAAAAAGGTACCTGACTAATATAATATAAAAGTGCTAATAGTTACAACAAAATATGCAGAAACTACAATTTGCTCCAGAAAAAAAGAAAAGTAAGGTGTTGTTAAACTAGTCGATCAACCAAATGTTTGGCAAGTACAGACAACATAATTCTCAAACTGCTTCCTGATATCTGATCAACTCTGCTGATAAAGGAGGAAATTACCAAAGTGAAGAGATTGTTACCAAAAGTGTTGCTAAGTTCTAAAAAGTGCAGTGTACTTCAATAAACATAGTAATTAACATTATATACATCCTTTATAACAGTTGGTAAGATTTATAGAATAACTTGGGTGAAAAATTTAAAAAACAAATATAGCTTTGTGACAAGTCAGTCACTTTTGGCAGCTAACCTGAATTTTATACAATTTAAGAACTACTGTAAAATATATAGAAACAACTCACAATCAAACAGTAAATCCTTTACTAAACAGACTTCAGAAATGAAAACAGTGACAGAGATATGGAAAAAAGGGTCAGAGAAGGTGCAAGCACGCCAAAATAAATTTTGTGGATATAGAGCCTGAGAGCAACACTTAAAGGGTCATGTCATTGCTGCATGGATATGATGACAATCTGAGCAATTCCCAGGCTAGCATAACACTACAGACTATAGACCAGTTAATCCAAAGTAATAATGGCAGTCAATCTATATATACCCCCTTTTAAATTTTTCAACAAGAATGATTGTAAGAATTACATGAGAAGAATGAATGAGATGCTTGACTACTTGAGATCTTCAAAAAATATAAAAGAAAAACAAAAGTGGGCAAACAAGGTACTTTTTTGTATGAAACCAGATTCTTTCAGTCACTTGAATTAGACATTACATTAGATTCAAACTGATAAATCTCCATTCACAATAAGGTATAGGGACAACTCCTTTATTAAACAAATCTGTTTACTACTAAGAATTATCTGACACTATAAACACAAACATTTAATCAAGATGTAAATATTGAAACTACAACAGTAAGCAGAATACCTAAAAATTAAGTAGCTCTTTGAGACTGAGGAGATGTATATATTTTTAGATTAGTGTATATGAGTTAAAATTCAAATGGTACAGATTTAGCTAAAGGATGTGTCAGAAATGTGTTTTCATATATAGAAAAACAGAAGTGAAACAGATTTTCATGAGGATGAAAAAGAGTTGTGACCTCCAAGCATATTCTTGAAACTGGAATCAACTTTTAATTCTTAACCATACTTCAAAAAAAAAAGAATACTTAACCACTTCATCTATGAAGCAACCCAATTAGCCTTTTCATGATTACATTATTCAATTTCAATAGTGATCTTTGGCTGACTTCATGCAGATTTCTAATCTCCCTTCAAATAAGGAAAAATGATAAAAATCACCTTAAATAAGGCGTGAATTTTTCTGCAATCCTTAATTTCATCCCCAGAGTTATTATTAAACAGTACTGGGCCTTCCATTTGTAAAAATGTTACTCTCTGGATATATTATTCACAAGTTTCGTTACCTAAAATGTTTGGTCAACCATGCACTTCTGCTGTTTTAATCTGAAAAGACAGAACTTTCTCTTTTCACATTGTTTAGTATATACTAGCAGTTTTCATTTCCTGGTTCCAATTTCATTTTTATCTAATTTGCTTAAGGGTTTCAAAGCTAAAATTACCTAAGAATATTATGTGTAGTTAATATGGTTTCACAGATATTTTTAGGCTCATAAATAATCCACACTACTATATGTTCTTCTGTGATTCCAAGTAACAAAGTGAGGTTTTTTTTTTGTAAACCAGTGTTAGAAAAAAAAATCAAAACTTCTAAAATGGCATCAAAACATATCATGGTAGAATGACACAGTGATTAACTGTTTATCTAAATTGAATTCTCCATGAGTGGGCCCCTCTGGTGTTCAATACATGTAGCAGTATCAATTTTTTCTCTCAGTAACAGAACTTAAAACTGGTATTTTTAACATACGGGTAACGTACTACCTAAAACATTTTTTATCTATACATTTAGTAACCCTCAAAAAGATTCTCCCTCTGTATTTCAAATGATGAGACAAATATCCTGAAGTTCAATTAGGTCTAACTGTAAGCAAGTAAGATTAATTCAAGGTTGACAGGTGAACAAGATGAATTAAATTAGTTTAAAAAAGCATATTCTCAGGTGGAAAAAACTTAACTCAGGTTGGGCAAGTTGGGAAAAAAAGTTAAAGCAATCTTCCTATCTAGATAATTCACAGACCCCTATAGTGTCTAAACTGGCTAGTGTTCTGAATGGGATAATTTCCTAAAATATTCAGGTCGGTCCCTTATACTATGTGCAACTTCGGTATTATAACCTAGCGCTCCCCGTCACAGTGGTACTGTTTGTTCTCTCATCCACAAACCTTCCTGCAGAGACCAATAGAGGAACTAATGCAGTGCTTTCAGATACTGTGCATACATACTAAGGGTGACAGTTTGGGTAACAGAGTAATAATCTTGCTCTAAAAGGCAACCCAAGATGATAGTGTAACAGTGAGGTGCCGCGTGCACTCAAGGGCTCTGCAAAGAGCCACTCCTGAAAATACCTAATGCTAAATAAACAGGAGTCGCCAGCTTTCAGATCACTTTCAGGGATATTATTTCCCTTCCTACAACACCCCTCCTCTCCTTTTCCCTTCTCGTATAGTAAGGGCAAAATAAGAACCAGTAAAGGCGTATAACTGCAAGGCTGAGCAGACAGGGTTCCGGCACATCTGGACTCTCCTCCGGCGGCAACGGGGCAGCCCCTGGCCGATCCCATCCGAACCAGCAAAAACGCGCCCGCAAAAATGAAAGAACGCGAAGGCAACGGGCGAGGAGTCGGCCACGAGTCCGCTGAGGAACGACCTGCCGGCTCCTAGCGTGGCGGGTCCGGACTCCGCGACCCGCGCCGGCTGCGAGGGGCTGCATCCGCCCTCCTAGCAGCCGTCACGCTTGCCCGGCCGAGGGTCAAGGTTCCACTCCGGGACCCGGACGCCCCGCCTCGGGTTGCTCGGGGCAAACTTCGCCCACGGGCAGGGGGCGCGCCCGGAGCTCCGGGACCCGCGCCCGCCTCCGCCGGGACGCGCGCTGGCCTCGGCGGCGGCGCGGGGGCCAAGTCCCGGAGAGCCGCGGCGGGCAGAGGAGCCGGTGCCCGGTCCCCGGTCCCCGCGGGCCGCGGGCGGGGGAGGGGCGGCGGGGCACTTACCACGGGTCGAACTCGTGGATGATGCTTTCGAAGCGGATGACGGCGAAGAGGCGCGAGCTGAAGCCGGCAAGCCAGGCCAGGAAGAGGATGGTGAAGGAGAGCAGCGACTGCCACCCAGCCGGCTGCGACAGCCCCCCGGACAGCCCCGCGGGGGCCGGCTTCGGCGGCGCCGCGCCGCCCGCCGCCTTGTGCGCGCACTGGGCCCCGGGCCCGTGGTGGCTGTGCCGGCTGTTCCCCAGGGCCATGAGGCCGCTCCAAGGGGACGAGTTGAGGGACGACTTGTGCTTGCTCTCCGGGGCTGAGGGCTCCGCCATGTTGTGCCCCGGCGGCGGGTCTCGCTCTCCTCAGCCGCCGCCGCCTGGTGCGAGGGGTGCTGGGCGGGGACCCGGAGGAGGAGGAGGAGGAGGAAGAAAAAGGAGGAGGAGGGAAGAGCTCTGCGCGCTCCCGCCCTCAGCGCCGCGAGGCCGGGGGACAGGGGGTGGAGGCGGCGGCGGCGGGGAGTCTCCGCCTCAGCAGCGGCAGCGACCGCCGCTCTCTCAACCCAGATGGCCCCTGCGCCCCACCAGCCATCCGTATCCCCAGTACAGCTGCGGCGGCGGCGAAAGCCGACGGGACGAGGGCGCCAGAGAAGGAAAAGGAGCAGACGGAGGCGGCACCACAGCTCTAGAGAAGCAATGACATTCCCTCTCACGCCCGCCGCCCGCCCCGCCAAGAGGAGCAAGGGGAGGAGTGTCCCGGAGTCCGGGCGGAGCTCAAGCAACCTCAGACTCCGCCCCCGGCCCGACAGGAACTGGCCCCTCCGCCTGTCACAGAGCGACAGGTCCGTTAGGGGGCGGGCCCAGAACTGCGGCGCCCACCAATAGGGGCGCGAGCTGGGGCGGAGCTTGACCCAACCGTCCTCCCCCTCCCCCTCCCGGCCTCGCGCCCATTTGCCCGGAGCCGCCGAGCTGCGCGGCTACGGCTTCATTGTCAGTTGAAAGACGCGGTTTCGCGGGCCTGTGCGGTCTGCGAGGAAGAGTGCTAGGCGGCTCCGCTAGGTTCATGGAGCTGAGCCGGGTCGAGGGGTCGGAAACAGCGGAGCGGCCTCCGTCAAACTTGATTTAAGGGACACGGAGAGCGCCGCGCCGACCAGCAGGGCGCTCGTGGACTCTCCGCGGTCGTGACTTTTAACCCGCTTTGCGCGGAGCGCCTACCACGTGATTGGGCGCGCAGGCGCGTTACGCCAACCCTCCGCGCGTGGGTCGGGCAGATGGGCTCGGCCGCCCGCTGCGCCCCCTACCCGGCGCCAGGAGTGAGTCCTCCGCGGCGGTGACACTGAGGTGCACGCTGCCCTCCGCGTCCGGCCTCCCGCTGGGCGGCTGCGACCGAGGACGAGTTTGCGCTGAAAACTCTTTGGAGCTAGCAAACGCGCCCCTAGCTCCGGAAAGTCCTAACGAGGCAGACAAAATGCGACCTTCTCTCGCCGTTTCTCACTCGTCGTATTTTCCTAATTGCAACAGTAATGTATGTTCGCTGGAAATGCGGGAATGTGCAGAAATTCATCGTTAACGGCTGCATACATTCCAGCAAACGATTGAAACTATTTTAACTTACCCTGGACTTTGAGCTGTTACCCAGTTCTCACTTCAGTAAACGATAACGGAAGGAAGATCCCTGTACACGAATTTCTGCACGTCTAGGTTATGTTTTTATACCTTCTTTCCTTTTCCCCACGCCCCTCGTCACCCCCCAAAGTGCTACCAGGTAGACCTAAATGAGTTTAAACCTAAGTGAGGCAGTGGGGAGACTAGAATTATTCTGATAAAGCCCCGTGGAAAGCAGGGAGCTTTCAGTGTAATCAAGCTCAGTAAATATTTGATTGATTTTTTTAATGTAAATTCACAGTTGTCCATTTTATTCTGATAACATCTGAATTTAAAAGGATGTGTTTGTGTAGAATTATAAAGGCCCTTAAGTCATTTAAAATTTTCTCTTTAAATTATAAATTGTGTTTAGGTGGTAGGTCTTTTCAAAATGTTGAAGGAACAAGTGTAGTTGAAGGATGCTCTTTGGAACTAATGGACCTAGCTACTCTTTTAACCCGCTAAGTGATTAACTTTTCTCTTGTTTCCTTACAAAAATCTTCTCATTAAGGAAAGGATGAAAAGTTTTCCAGAAATAGACTTTCTAACCAACAGTTTAATAGTGGACATTTATTGAACATCTAAATTTTAATGAGAATTAAGGTAGAATGTTAACTGGTCCCTGTTGTGCAGAGAAAGGTGACATACTCTTGCTAACAGCCAAAACAGTATATGCTAAAATGACAAGATTTAAAATATTTTTTTTTTGCCCATGTTCCATGAAGAAAAGTGCTACCAGCCTAAAATAAAATTTATTTTGTGTTTTTATTTTGTTTGGATATTTCTGTTGTCTTTGTACAGATGCTCCCCGTTGGGCTCTAAATTATCTTTTGCTTCCTTTGTTAGCTGTTTAATGGCCAGGGACCTCGTCTGAAAAGTGACAAGTCTTGGTTCGAGTCCCAAATTGTCGCTTATTAGCCATGTAACATTTAACAAGTCACCTACGTGGGTTGCCCTTTCTACTCTTAAAGTCAATTGTTATTAGTAAATGAGATAACTCATCTGAGTATACTTTGGAAAATTGTAAAAGAGCATGCAAACGCAGGGTAGTGGTGAGGGCACAAGCAATGTGGAAAATCCTTTTATTCTTGATCTTCATTCATTTACTCATTGATTCAGCAAGTATTTATGGAGCTCCTCCTTTATGCCAAGTACTATGTGGGCACTGGGATGCAGCAGGGAGCAAGAGAGACACGGTTCCTGCTTTCCCAGAGCTCACCAGCCAGCCCTAGGGAGGTAAGCATTAACCAAATCACATTAAGTATCGAAATGCAATGTGACAAACACTGTGGAGGAGAGGTTCATGGGAGATTTGATCTACACAAGAAGGGTGGGAAACATTACCCTGAGGAGGTAGCACTGGGGGATGAATGTACCAGGAGAAGCAGAATGGAAAGTGTTAGGCTAAACCCAGAGGCTGGTGGGAGGTTACATGGAAACTTGCCCCTTTAAACTGACCTCGCCCCTTTGAGAACCTACCCAAACCTGGCTATAAAAGCCCTAGATATCACACCTGTAATCCTAGAAGGATTACAGGTCCAGGCGGGCAGATTGCTCAAGGTCAGGAGTTTGGAACCAGCCTGAGCAAGAGCAAGACCCCGTCTCTACTAAAAATAGAAAGAAATTAATCGGACAAGTAAAAATATATACAAAAATCCAGCCGGGCATGGTGGCGCGTGCCAGTAGTCCCAGCTACTTGGGAGGCTGAGGCAGAAGATTTGCTTGAGCCCAGGAGTTTGAGGTTACTGTGAGCTAGGCTGATGCCACAACACTCTAGCCCGGGCAACAGAGGGAGACTCTGTCCAAAAAAAAAAAAGCCCTAGACATTCCGCATCCCCCCCCCCAAGTCTCCCATCCCTAGGGATTTGGGTGCTGATGCCATCTTGGCCTCAGCTGATTTGTATGCAGATGTTTAAAGAAACTTCTTTTCACCTCTCCCAGCCTCCTGCATTCCTCCCTTGGAGTTTCTAACTGAAAGGATTATCCAAACAGAAGTTAAGTGCAAAGGTCCTGCTGTGGGGCAGGAGAGGCAAGTACAAACAACCCAGAAAAGGGCCAGTGTGTCTGCAACACAGGCAGTGGGATAGGAGGGATAGGGTGGGGTAGGAGTCTGGAAGGAATAGCCAGATAGCGTAGGTCATGCTAAGAGGTGTTTTAACCTGAGACTGTTGAGAATCCACAAAAGGTCTTAAACAGGATGTGGTCCGTTTGATATGGAGCAATAGAGATGATCAGGTGTGTGTTTTGAAAAGATTACTAAGGCTACAATGTGGAAAGCACTTTGGAGAGGGGACCAGTAAGGGATCTTATCAGTGTACCTTACATTTCAGAGGTTGCTTTTGTGAAGAATATATTACAGTGGAACCACTAAGGAACCCATAAAAATAAATAGCAACATTGTGAATTCTCAATTTCCAGCCTATCAACTTAGAAAAATGTTTTTCAGTTTGTGCAATAAGTGTGTTGTTTGCCTCTCTGCACTTGAACTTCTTGATCCTGCTAGGTGCTTTTAATGTCTTTGTTGGGTTGAAATCTCTGAGGAGTCAGATAGTCAAACACTAATGGTGCAGTTTGACGAGTAGAGTGTTGTGACATCAGAGGCCCAGCTCTATTTAGAAGCTTCCAAGGGAAGGCAGTATCTGAGCTGAAACCTGAAGGATGAGCAGAAGTTCACCAGACACACCAGGAAGAGAGATGGGGGGGATTCCAAGCAGGAACAAGAAAGTCTTTCAAATTAACACACAAAGTTTCATATTAATGAGAGTGCATTGGGAGGGAGGCCGAAAGGAAGATAAGAACCAGATTATCAAGGATTTGTCTGCCTAGTTTAAGTAGTTTAGATATTAACCTATAAGGAGCTGGGAGCCACTGCAGCATTTTGAACAATAACATGGCCAGGTTTAGTTGATGGAAGAAAAAGTTTTGAAAAAAAAAGAAAAAAAATTTTTGATAGCAGTTTGAAGGATGTACTGGAAAGAATGAGAGTAGAAGCAGGGAGACCAGTAAGGAGGCATTTGCAGACGTTTAGGCAAAAGAAATTGCCTAAAAACAGGGACAGTGGGGTCCAGAGAGGAGGGGATAGATAGGAGCGTTATCAAGAGGATAGAATGCAGAAATTGACGGTTGGGGCAAGACAAAGTAAGAGTTAAGATGAATTAGGAGTTTCTGGCCTGGTTATTTGGGTGGAGTGTGATGTCTCAGAAATGAGGATCTCAGGATAAGGAGCATGTTCGCAGGGAAGAAGATCAAATCAGCTTTGGACATGTCATATTCTAAGTCCCTGTAGGACATCTAAGAGTAGGTGGCTAACGGGCACTTAGATAAAGAAATCTGATGCTCAGGAGGGGGAGTTTTTCTGAGGATAAAGGTTTGGTATTCCAATGGCTGTGGATGAAATTTTGCTGGAATCAAAGTTAGTGGAAATGAGAGAAGGGTTGAGGATAGAACCCTAAAGAACTCCCAAATTAAGAAGCTAGAAGATATGCCTGCAAGGAGCCAAAGATAGAGCAACCAAAGAGAAAGACCCAGCAGAAACAGTGATATCCTAGCAGCTAAGAAAGGGAAATCACTTGCATTTTAAGAAACTAGTATCTCTTCTCCTCTCCTCTCTTCTTCTCTTTCTCCTTCTTCTTCCTCCTCTCCCTTCTCCTCCCCTTTCTCTTCCTCCTCCTCCTCCTTCTTCTCTCTCCCTCTCTCACTCTCTCTCTCTCTCAGCTCTCAATCTGAGTAAAGCAGCCACATTGTGAGTAGCCCTATTAAGAGGTCCATGTGAAAGAAACTGTTGTCCCTGGCCAGCAACCCACAAGGATTGAAGGCCTTCCAACATCCACAAGAGTGAGCTTGGAAGTAGATACTCAGTCAAGCCTTAAGATGACTGCAGCCCCAGATGACACCTTGCTTGCAGCCTAGTGAGACACTGAGTCAGGGGACTCAGCTAAGCTGTACCCAGATTCATTACCCATAAAAACTATAAAATAAGAATTGTCATGTGGCCTTTGGCAAGTTATTTATGTTCTAAGCCTCTAAGTTTGGGGGTAATTTGTTACACAGCTATGGAAAACTAATACAATGGGAATAAAGAATGACAAAGGTAGCAGCAACCTTTCTTTTATAATTTTCCTGAGAATGTCCCTAAATAACCTGCAAGGATGAAAAGAAACAGTTCCACTATCACCACTCAAAGAATGTCCTAAGGAGTATTCATCCCAAAAGATACTTCAGGAAAGGGAAAAGAAAAAGTATTCCTTGTCAAACAAATCTACATACTTTATTTCCCCTTTGAAAGTTTGTGATAAACATGGCCATACTGAATGCTCTGGAAAGTCCTATAGCAACTTGATTTATCCCAGAATTGCCCAAATCTAGTTGACTCTAGGAGCCCTTTTCTTTATAACACCTATTAACAGGCTGTGAAACATCTAATCCTCAGAACATATTTTGGAAAACACTGTAGTTGACACTTTAACTTTAGCTCTCAGGACTGCAAGGCCTTTCATCTGGGAGAGCTCTGGGCCAGTAGTTGAGAGTTGAGTTCTGGGTTAGGTCTTGCCAGCAAGTCAAGTGACTTTAGGCAAGTCTCTGAAGCTTCCTGTGAGATAAATAGAGCTGCCATACCTTAAATTCCATACAGCTCTGCAAGTCTCTGAGGTCATTCAGTGCAACCTCAGAAGACGAATCTTAAGTACAGTGTAGGGACCTTGCTTATCCTTTCACTGCTGTAGTCACAGGCACTAGCCCCAGGCCTGACACATAGCAGCAAATATTTCATAAATGAATGAGTTGGTGCACACTATGGTATCAGATCAATATTTTATTTGGTGCATGCAAGGTTAATAAAATGACTAAGTAAAGTTAGTCCTTTTTCCCAAGTTGCTGTATTTCCAAGATCCTATGGAGGAAAATTTCTGTAAATTTATTGGGGAACTTTGGATGAGAAGGGGGTGAAGACAGTTACAGCATTGCAAAGTGAGGCAATACCTAAGTGCTGTGGGAGATATGAAAGTGAATAATACCCTCCAATTTATAATCCAATAGAACTGAAGCCTGCAACTTTTTCTGTAAAGGGTCACATGGTAAATATTTTCAGCTTTGTGGGCCATACTATCTCAGACAACTACTCCCTTCTGCTGTTGTAGCATGAAAGCAGCCATAGTCAATACGTAAGGCAACGGGCATGGCTGTTCTCCAGTAAACACAGCCATGCCTGCAGGCCAGTTTCTTGGCCCTTGTGATAGAGGAATAAAGTGATTACTATGATCTAATTTAGCTCAAAATCCAGTATGAGGCAGAGGATGTTCTCTATCATGATCACTGAGAAGAGTGAGAGCTTGTGTCTGGGCAGTCATCGAGAACATTTTCATGAATATTGGCTTAGTCTTAAAGAGCAGGTAGAATTTTGATGAGTGAGATTTGGAGAGTGGAAAGGCTGCATTAGAAGCAGAGGAAAAGGAAAAGCAAAGTCATGTAGGGCAGTGGTCCCCAACCCTTTTGGCACCAGGGACTGGTTTCATGGAAGACCATTTTTCCATGGACAGGAGTTAGGGGGATGGTTTCAGGATGATTCAAGGACATTATATTTATTTTTTTGTGCAGTCAAACCTCTCTGCTAATGATAATCTGTATTTGCAGCCACCCCCAGCGCTAGCATCACCGCCTCAGCTCCACCCCAGATCATCAGGCATTAGATTCTCATAAGGAGTGCACAACCTAGCTCCCTCCCGTGTGCAGTCTACAGTGGAGTTCCTGCTCCTATGAGACTCTAATGCCACCACTGATCTGCCAGGAGACGGTGCTATGGGAAGCAGCTGTAAATACAAATGAAGCTTCACTAACTTGCCCACCACTCACCACCTGCTGTGCAGCCTGTTTCCTAACAGTCCACGGACTGGTGCTTGTCTGGCCACTGGCTGGTACTTGTGTGCAGCCTGGGGGTTGGGGACCGCAGATGTAAAGGATACTTGGAAATGAGCAAGTAATCTAGAGTTGAGATGCATTGCCACATTTTATATTTATTTGCTACCATTGAAACAAGGACACACTCCAGGTCATATAAAGCAAATTAATTTTCTATTTTAGAACTTCTGACAGTTCATATTTCTGTGTCCGCTATCTCATGGTTTCCAAAAAAAGAAAGTGTATATCAGTTAGGCATGTATTTAGCTGCAAGTAACAAAAAGGCCAAAGGATAGTGGATTAAACACATAGGGGTTTATTTTCTCCCATAACATGAAATCCAGAGAAAGGTGATTGCTGATATCTATTCATTTGCTCAACAATGCTTTCACAGCTTTCTGTCCTTAATATCCTGTGCTGGATTGTCTGTTGTCAACTCATCTTCATCCTCTTCTGTGGTCTCCTCTGCACATAAGAGAAGCTGAAAAGTACTTTTTCCAGATTCTCTTCTCTGTGTGGTTCCACAGTAGAGTTTGTCAATGAGTGGAATTCAGTCAATATTGGAAGATAGAAAAGATGAAGAAGTGGTTTCAGATAAAAGAGAAAAGATAAGCCAATGTAAGATTTACAACATTTTTTTTGGCTGGTGTGAAAATCACTTACAAAATTGTTGTAGACTAAGATCATTTGTGGGAGCTTTTTGGAGATAATTGAAAATGGGAGCAGCTTCCTAGAGAACTTTTGAGAACTCACTGCTTTGGTCCTTCAGGCTGAAGTTTTCAAAGTCTCCTTACCTGACCCTGACCTTCAGAGAGCAACTTTCCTGATCTTTGTTCCCTATGGTCTTCCAACATTCATGTAAGTAATTATTCTTTATTCCTAAAGAATAAATTCCTAAAGTACCTGGAGTAGCTCTGTTTTCCTGATTGTACCTGGCAATATACTGTCAATTCACTTAGTATATTGGTTGTTATTCTCTTTACTGTTGCCTTGTTCTTGTAAGATAGCTGCTACAGCTCCAGACATCACATCAGCATTTGAAACAGAAGGTCAGGAGAAGAGGAGATGCCAATAATATAGGCCCTCCTTTTGTAAGGAAAACAAACATTTTCCCAGAAATTATTTTATCAGACTTTCTCTTAAGTCTCATTGGCACCGCCACCTCCCATGATCATATTGAGTTTACATTGCTTCAGAGTTACTGTTTCATTTCTTTAGGCACGCCTGGTCTTCCTGATAGCTCAAACAAAAATCCTTAAGTTGGGTTCAAGTGGCTCTAATTGACCTGACTTAGATCATATGCCAATTTCTGACCAAGTGCTCTTGCCAAGAGGATGCGAAACACTCATTGGCTTAGGCCATCCTGGAGCTGGAGTTGAGTCGAACCTTACTTGTAGGAAATCTGAGGCACTGTTACAGAAAGGAAGCAGTACTGCATGCTAGAAAGGTTCACTGCATTAAAGGTATACAATTTTGACCAAGAGGAAAGCAAGTAGATAGAATTAGCACCCAAGAATCTAAAATTTGAAGAATGTATATGCAGCTATAATTTGTCAATATATAATTTTAAATTTAAAAAAAGGCATATACCCTAGGATACAGAAAACAGTAAAATAAAATTTGAGGAATGTATAAAAGAAGTATTTTGTGGGTGGGAGGTAGATGCCTTTCCTTATTCACTTGTGACTTGATTCAGACCACAGATCAACATGGAGCAGAGGTTAGCAAAATTTTTCTATAAAGAGCCAAACAGTAAATACTTTAGGCTTTGTGGCAATATCATTCAACCACAGAATTTTGTCATTGTAGTGCAAATGCAGCCATAGACTATACATAAACAAATGGGGTGACTGTATTTCAATAAAACTTTATTTACCAAAATAGGCAGCAAGCTAGATTTGGGTCAAAGGTTGTGGTTTGCCAAACCCTGAACTAGAGCATTTCCTGTCCTTGAAGTGATACAAACTTGGCAACAAAGATTTTTCAGGCTTTGCTTAATAATTTATTTTATTTTATTTTATTTTTTTTACTTAATTATATACAGAGATAATATTAATACATTCATGGCCTATTCCCTGACTGCCACAGCCTTCCTTCTTCTAATCTAGATGGGTGATAATTTTCATTATTTCCTTCTGTCTTTTTTCAGTATTTTTTATGGAAATGCAAACACTTCTGAAACTATTTTCTTATATTTCCATTTTTCTCATGCTCTACATATTTCTCCCCATCTTGATTATTTTTTTTCTGAACAATTGTCTTCAAGATCTTTCCACATCAGCTCATAGAGAACTTTTTCATTTCTTCTTAGGGCTTCATAGTATTTCAGAAGATGTACTCTAACTAAATCAATCACCCGTTGGTAGATGTTTGGGCTATTACCAGTCTTGTGCTATTATTTAATACAAACAAGGCTGTAATAAAGTTATAGAGAAGTAATTTTGCCCAACTGCAAGTGTGTTGGTTGGAGAAATTATCGCAAGTGAAATTTGGTATGGGTATGTTCATTTGTAATTTCAGTAGGTAAATTGTTCTCCATATGGGGTTGTACCAATTGCATTCCCACAATGTGGGAGAAGCCTACTTCCCAGTGCTCACCAACAGAGTGTTAGCAAATCCTTGGTATTTTGCCAACAAGTGAGGTGCAGAGTGGTAGTTTTAATTTGCATTTCCCTTATGAGTAAGGCTAAGGGTACTTATTTAACATTTAAGACAGTCTTTTCAAATTCTCAATGAGGCAGAATTGCCATCACTGATTGTATGTTCTTAAGCATAATTATTGGAATAGTATGCTCCAATGTTATGGAAACCATTAACATGTATAGTTTTATTTGCTAGTTGCTCAGAAAATGAGGTCATCTATATTAAATTCTTGCAAATCTGTTCTTTAAAAAAAAAAAAAACTCGTCCTATTCAATTTAGCATATTCCCTAGATTATCTATTCTAGATCATATACTTCATGAAAGTACCTTTGAAGCAATGAAAGTTTTTTTTTTTATGGTACATTAATAAATTCAGATAGATATTTTCTAAAGAGAAAATAACTGTTAGCAAACATCTCTTGTGATACAAAGGTGATTATTTCATTTTATTTTAATGAAATTTTGTGCCATCCTGATGTGTAGCTAAACTGTCCACCTTTTCCTGAGAGCTTTACAGGAGCAGACAAAGAAATAGGTTACTTTGGCAAATAATGTTTCTTTCAATGTGTCTTAACTACAATTACAGTGCTTTGGATGCAGTTCTATCTCCTATCCCTATACATTTGTTTTTGTTTTGTATTAATCCAAGTAATTATAGAATCAGTAACTGCATTCTATTTGCAAGAGAATTTATGAAATTATGTGGTGGACCATAAAATAATTCAGAGTGAAGTTCAAAGCAGAAATTTATAAAATATGAAGATTTCATCCTACAGGTTTTCAAGAAAACAGAAAACTTGAAATAGGGATTCTCTCTGGCTTAAATTTTCTTTCAGGTAATTTAATAGGCATTGAGCTTCAGAATTATACATTTTTAAGACAAAAACCCTACTTCTTTTTATTGTAAATTATTTAATTTTAAATTTAGGTACAATAAATATTATACCGAGGAAATGTATTCCACTTAATAATTATACAGAACAAGTTCATTTGCTAAGGAATTACAAGGGATTTTGTTAGTTATTAAATTAGTGACACAATAAAGAATGGAGGCCACATTAGCTAGAAGTTATAAAATAGAAAACTACATTATAATTTTGATAATAAAAACAAAAAATTAAAAGGAGCTAAAGGGCTATATTAACTATAAAATCTTGTAGACATCCAAAGCATTGTAAATGCATTTATGATCAGGGTGTTAATTCTACTTCTGATGGTGTGAGTTTCTCGGGCTCTTTGGCTTTTCAAAGAAAAGAGTTATATTTGGGTTACTGGGTAATCAAGTGTATCGAAAGGTTGCACAGAGGAGTAAGAGAGACAGGAAGGTATCTTAGCAGGTGCACGCCCAGGCCTTGTAGAAAACAGGAAGTTATTTCAGGACACAGCAGTTCTGGAGGCTCAACAACAGTACCCCAGGCCAACAGCACTCAGCAGCTCCCTGCACCATGCCCTCTCCAGATGCTGACTCTACTGTTCTGTCTAGAATCCCCGTGACTGCCTTTCCTGACTTTCTTCTGGAACTCTCTATCCTTCTTCTCCTAGACTCTTTACTCATGCTCCCATATGGCTCCCACTGCTTTGTGGTTTCTGCTTAGGAATTGCCCTCTCTTGGGTCTTTGTGCATCTGCCTTAGATACGTTTCCTCAGAAGCACACCCTGGGTTTAACTTTACTGTGATTTATTAAGGTGACTTATTAAGGAAGTGCCCTCAGGAAAAATCAGTAAGGGAGTGAGAAGGTCACAGAAGGGAAAGGAGCCAAGCAAGGATGCAATCTCAGGCACAGACCGTGGAGGGCCCTTTACCCTGGGGGAGCTTGAGAGTGTAAGTTAGGCTTCAGACATGCAAACTGGAGGCAAGGAGCTGGGGTGCTCCTACTCCCACACTGTCAGTCACTGGTTAAGTGACTGGGGGTGCACGAGCTTGTAGGCACTTGTGGCTCTCTGGTCACTGGAAGGAAGAAAAGATCCAGGGAGGGGCACACACAAATGTGTGTGTGATCTGAGGATCCTGGATGTGCATGGAGCATTGCTTCAGCATTCTTCTCAGCTTCAAGTGTGGCCAGATTGGAGTGCCCAAGGAGAGAAGATCTGATTGGGTCAAGAAGTTATACTCCAGTAAAAGGTGCTCCTTATTGGGCACTGGGCCACTCACTCTATAGGTTCCTGGACATCTATAGACTTTGCTACATGCTACAGTGCATGGTCACTTACGTTCGATGAGCCTCCACAAGGGACTGTGGCTCTGACATCATGCTGAGCCCTCCTAGAAGAGAGAAGAGAAACTGGCTTGCATCTTGCATAGTTTCTTCCAGTCCAGACTACTTGATTCTGTTTTAGTTTGTTTACACCTAGATATATACTTGTTATTTTGATTTGATTTGCTGGTGGGGGGGGGTGGAGGATGTTTCAGGTGTGTCTTGAAAGTAGCCACCATCTCTTGATCTCAGATTGGATGTTCTTGGATGAGTGTTTTAAATAGTAATTATTGTTCATGTATAGGAAAGGAACAGGTGCTTGTTATTGTTTCTCATTTAATTTAGTTTTTACAATCATATTTCTCAAAACAAGGCCCCAGGGGTACCTGCATCATAACCTCTTCAGGTGCTTCTCAAAAATGCAGCTTCTTGGGCCACATACTTAGTATGTTTGGGCATGCTCTAGTAGTCTGCATTTCCAATTATTAATAGCACTCTAGATAATTTTCTCAAACTAAAGTCAAACTTTGTGAGCCACTGGTTTACAAAGTAGGTATTAGCCTCTTCATTTTACTGTGAAGGAAATCAAAGCTTTAAAGGGCTAAGAAATTCACCCGCAGTTACACAGCTAACACCGAAGGTGTCTCAAAAGTTCTTTTCCATAAAAGGAAGTTTCCATTGTGTTTGCAATGTGAAAGTTCACTTGTTTACTATCATCTTAAAGCAAATTTCAGGGTGTCTATGACTACATAGAGTCTCTGTGTATATCATTTCATTTAGACTAACTACAGCCTCCCAGTTGTATGACTACAAAATTATAATTTGAGTACTTCTATGTTCCTACTAGAGAAAAAGACTTGAGTGCAAAGGCAGCAGCCAAACAAATCTGGGAAGCTAAAGGTGAAGGACATGGTCGAAGAATGCCATTGACAGATTGATCTGGTGCTTCAGCAATTTTTTTCCAGATACAGTGATACTGTATGTTTGGTGAAATGCTGAAAGGGTTCAACATGTCATATTTGTTCCATGTGGTAGGGCCAGGATTGCTATCCTATATGTAGGATAACCTGAGCATGTACATAGAATTTTGAAGTGTTGCTTCTGATCCAAGTGAGAATGCAGGAATTGGATGGGGATGAAATTCTCTCATATCTGACATATAGTGCAGATCTTGCAAGTCTGGACGTGGCTGTGAGGAGAAATGGCCACATTTCTCCATAAACAGTGATTTGGAACATTTGGCAAAATCAGAGCAGTTCTTCACCTCCAAATCCAAGGGTTGGCCTGCTTGCAAAAAGGAGGAGCATAGTCAACAAAAATCTGATGTGCTTGTGTATTGTTGCCCATAAGTCATTCTTCCACGGGAAAGAACTTAAAGATACCTTAGGAGGTAACAGGATCTGATCCTAATCTATGCTTTGTCTGAAACCTGAATTGGTGTTCCTTCCTCTAAATTATCCTTTCACTATGTGTGTTGTTAAAGACTGAATTGTGTCCCACCAAAATTTAAATTTGAAGTCCTAACTCCAGAGTGACTATATTTGGAGAGAAGACTGTAAGAAAGTAATTAAGGTTATATGAGGTCATAGGTTGGGGCCTCAATCCAATAGGACTGGTGTCCTTATAAAAAGAGAAAGAGATACCAGAGATCTCTCTATTTCTATTTGCTTAGGAAATGTGCAGAGGAAAGGGCTTGGGAGGACATAGCAAGAAGACAGCCATCTGCAGCCCAAGGAGAGAGCCCTCAACAGTAACCAACCGGCTGGCACCTTGATCTTGAATTTGAACTGTGAGAAAATCAATTGGTTATTTAAACCACCCAGTGTGTGGTATTCTGTTATGGGAGCCTGAGTGAACTGATGCATGTGTACTGAGCAAAGCCTAGGTGATTAATCTATTTTTCTTTAAGTGACTTTCTCTACTTTAGCATATTCACAAAAATTTTTGAAATTATGGTATCTTAAGCTGATAATATTCAACCAGACTGAATCTAAGAAACTTACTGACACATATATCTCATTTATCTAAGAAACTGAAGAACATTAAAAAAAAAGCATTAATACTTAAAATTCTTGTGCTTTGAATTCTTATTTTATTTATATTCTAAAATGTATTCATATAACATAAACATTATATTTTATTCTTATGTACATTTACGTATTTATGTATCTATTTTATTCTTATGTATGTTTTGTTCTTTACATGAATTTGAAGACCACAGCCATAACATTTTGGCTAAAGAAAATCCAGTTCAACCATTATTTTATAGGTAACTGAGAGATGCAGAAAGATGTTTTTTTTTTTTTTTTGAAAGCATGAAAATGAGGTTTATTGAGGAAAGCAAGATAGGATTATAGGGCAAGAGCAAAATGTGGGTTTACAGAGTATGATACATATGCCGCAGATGACCACTGGACCCATTGTCCCGGCAAGGGAGAGCAAAAGGAAGGGCACAAAAAGGTTGAGTGACTTGTGAAAGACACATAGCATACTAGCCAAACCAGGATTAGAACCCAGTTCTAGTGACACCTGGTATATCTTGATGCCTTCCAATTTACCATGCTAAGTACTATAATACAAAGGTAATAAATTTGTATTATAAAATGCTTTAGATTCTCAAGATAATACAAATGATCAGAGACAGAATATTTGCCACTTTAACACTTGAAAGAGAGTGCTATTAAGAGTTTTAGCGTTACTTTCCAATAATAAGGTTGGGCTGTATTAGTCAGCTACAGATACAATAATGCTGCATAACAAACAACTCCAAAGCTGTGCCTTAGCACAACAAGCACTTAGTTTTACTTATGGACCTGTGAGAAATCTGTGATTTTGTTGGGCTCAGCTGCTAACAGCTGGATTTAGCTTTAGGTATAGGGAGGGTTGAGGTCTCCTCCATCTGTCTCTTTAATTTTCTTGGACTCAGGACTTGTTTAGATCATGTTCTTTTTAGGATAGATGGCAGAAGCTCAAGGACCAAGCCAAATCATGCAAACACACTTACATCTATGGTTTGTGTAATGTCTACTGATATTTCATTAGTCAAAGCAAATCCTATGGCCAAGTGCAACATTAATGGGGCTGGGGCTGTATATACCACCAGCTCTCCTGGAATTTATCACAACAAGATGGGTATAGAGTTCTATTACAGGAGAAGGATGAATTGAAAATAATAACCCAATCTATGAAAAATATGACTTGAGGTTCCTGGTTATTATAATATGTTTGTAAAATGTAGTTTATAAAATTCCATGCAGCAAATTTATGAGCCAAAAGTGAGAATAAATTCCAATATGCTGTATACATTTTCTTCTTTAAGATGAGGAAACATAGTATTAATTAAAAGTTCTTTATTCCTTAAGCAAAGCATATGTCTCCTCTGAAAAATGTTTGCTTTTCTTATATGCAAGCCTTTGTTTACATGAGAGAAAAATATATTCCAGTTGCAAACTTGTCATTTTGGAAACATTTTAATTGGATGAGGAGTTTTAATGTTTGGGCATGTGAGCTTAACTTCATTTACCTAATCGTGGACTCAACTATTAGATAAAGGAGAGTTCTGAATCCAAGAATGTGGACCTTGGAGATAATAAAATAAGGATGCCAATGCAGGGTCCAGGAAGAATGACAGAAAAAGCTTTGTAGAGCTGTTGGAACAGGAAGGAATCCCATATAGACTGATGTGATCCAAATATTACTTTTGTCTAATAAGAATTGGGCACTTTGTTTTTGGGCTACCCAAACTTCACTTCTAACCCAAATCTCATTTAACACTGGTTTAAGCAAAAATGGAATTTATTAGCCTCACTAAGTGAAAATTCCAATGTTTGTTTTGGTTTTAGTTAGAGGCAGGTTGATCAGGGGCTCAAACAATGCCACTAAACCCTATTTCTCCGCCACAACCATCCACTTGGTATTGTTTACCTCCATGATGGCTCCATTCTTGACAGGCTCTTCCCCCATGTTTCGAGATGGCTACCACATCTCTAGCTATAATTTCAACATCTCAAGTTCAGGTGAAATAATAATAATAACCAACAATGATATAATATTTTCCCCAGGATTCCCAGGATTCTCATTGCATCTCATTGGCTCTGAGCAGACAATGTGTCCATCCTGGGACCAATCCCTATGGCCAGGGGGATGAACTGTAATAACTGACTTAGCCTCAACCCACATGCTCCAGCCTGGAACTTGAATGGAACGCCACCTGGAGCATGTTGGTTAAGAGTAGGGGAGAGGCTCCCCATGGGAATTTGAGTTATAGCTAACAAAGACAGGAATGTGAATGTTGGGTGTAAAAAAAAATGATATTTATAGAATGGGTGTACATTGTTTATGCATTGTATTGGGAATATTCTTTGGCTGTTTTATAGTTATAAGTGATTTATGGGAATTCAATAATAAACTCTGCTAAGAAAATGTCTCTCACATTCTTTACACACTATGTCAGCTGTTCTGTGACTTTTATGTAGTGTACTAGTGAATAATTACAATAGCTACCATCTACTGAGCATCTTCTCTTTGTCCAGCATACATTTAATCTTCATGTCAATTCTACCAGGAAAGTATTAGTGTTCCTATCTTAAAAACAAACAAGGAAATGAGGCTCAGAAAAGTCAAATAACTTTTTCATGATTACATAGAAAACCCAGTGGAACATGTAGACTATTATTTAGATAATATCAGGAACAAATTAGTCCTGTTTACCAGTGGCTTAACACAACTAAGTTTTATTTCTCACTTATGGTTCACATCCAAGCTGGCTTATGAGGGACTCTGTTCCATATGAATGGACCTAGGCTGAATGAGGCTTTACCATCCTATAGCTGCACCCTCTGGGCCAAGTACCTAGCTGTCTTAATCACTATGGCAAGTGAAAAGAGAGCTGTAGTGTCATGCACTGGCTTTTAAATGTTTCCGTTCAGAAGTAGCCTGCTTTACTTCCTGTCACGGTCCATTGGCCAGACAAGTGACACGGCCTCAACAAATACCACATGGCCTAGAAAATGTAGGGGAGCCCTTGGCTATCCAGTGAGCATCAAAACCCCTACTACAGAGATAATCCTAGTTCTTCCTGACTTTAAATAGGTATTCTGAGCATTAGACCCTATTTCTGTATTTTGTCTAGCTTCCTTTTATTTCATTGTTTGAAAGATTATTTAAAAAGTTGTTAAAGAGTTCCTTTATCTGTAGAAAACAATACAGTGGTAGAAGTAGTGTAGTGATTAAGAGCATGGGTCTTAGAACCAGACTGAATCCGTATCTTGGCTCTTTTTACTTGCTGCGTGCCCTTGGGTGACTGACGTAACATCTCTGTGCTTCAGTTTTGCTCTCTGTTAAAGGGAATACTCACTATATTAATAATAGTGTCTGTATCACAGGATTATCAGGATTAAGTGAGTCCCTTGAAATAAAGCACAAGACAGTGCTTCATAAAGTAAGTGCTAAATAAATCTTGTAATTATTATCATCAAACCACTTAGTTTTTCACTGAAGAAAACATTTTTCAGCTGCAAAATGTAACTTCAGCCAGAAAATTGGGAAACATGTGCACTGGGTCACAGAGACAAACCACACGAGAGGGTAACACTGCAAACGTCAAACCACTGTTGGGAAAACAACTCAAAGTCATGTTCAGTTGAAAGCGTTTTAGCAGTGTGGTCTTTATTGGCAAAAGAAGTGTATGTGTGCACGTGTGTGCCTATGTGTTTTCTTCATGCAAGGTACAAAATGTAAAGCAACAAGATGTTTGACAAGCAACACATGAAATTTCATTTTGATAGTCCCTCCTCGTGGATTGTGTACATAATGCAATATATTTAGACATGGTCTAGTATATTCATGAATCATGAAGTAAAACCTGGACTAAAAATACAGATTTTATTTAATCTACTGTCATTCTCTCTCTCTCTCTCTCTCTCTCTCTCTCTCTCTCTCTCTCTCTCCTCCACTCCTGCAAGAAAACATTTATTCTGTTCTCAGGCTGCTGAGGCTTGAAAACATTCCCTAGAAGCCCAATACTCCTTGTACTGATACTCCTTCCCTTCTGTCTGGGAAATGCTACTTCTCAGGGGCCCTGTGCAGGGATAATGCACACCATTAACTCTTCACTCCCTTCCCTGAGAGTCTGGGACTAAAAACACTCTATGAATAGTTTGACCACTTGCCATGGGCAGCCTTCTCCACCTGCCAGCAGCCCCCCTGGACACACACGACTCAACTCCCCTTCATTTCAACATTGAGAACCCAAACATCTGTGAGAATAAACTCTTGCTTAGATATGCCAACAAATCTGAAGCATCAGCTTTAAAATTAAATTTATTCCTGCTTGAAGTTCAAGTTTTTATTTCTCTAAATTGAGAGCATTCATTAAATCCATTAGTCCACAGGCTTACTATGTTACATGCGTAAGAAAAACCCTCAGGGTTCTGAGTGCACTGTAAAATTTACTTTTGAAAAGTAAGTAATTTCAAAATAAGAAATTCAAATCTTTTTCGATGTACATTATTTCCCCAAAATAATGAAGGGTTGGTAGTAACTTGAGTATAAGAAAGGCCTTAATTTAGTTCTCCTCTATTTTTCTCTATTCATTTTTGTGCCCTTTAAATACAAGAGATTTATTTTATACTCTACATGTAATTATTATTTTGTGCCTCTGCTTTAGTAGTAGGAGAGGCCTTGTTCTATCTCTACTTCAAACGAAGGTTTTTTTTTTTTGTTTTTTTTTTTTTTGAGACAGAGTCTCATTTTGTTGCCCAGGGTAGAGTGAGTGCCATGGCGTTAGCCTAGCTCACAGCAACCTCAAACTCCTGGGCTCAATTGATACTACTGTCTCAGCCTCCCGAGTAGCTGAGACTACAGGCATGCGCCACCATGCCCGGCTAATTTTTTGTATATATATTTTTAGTTGGTCAATTAATTTCTTTCTATTTTTAGTAGAGATGGGGTCTCACTCTTGCTCTGGCTGGTTTGGAACTCCTGACCTCGAGTGATCCACCCGCCCCCTCGGCCTCCCAGAGTGCTAGGATTACAGGCCTGAACCACCACGC